AAGCCAGCCCTAAGCCCTCAGGACCGCCTTTTCGAGCGAGTTCCCGCCAAATCAGGGAGGAAGGACTTGCCCCCACAACCAAACAGCCAGAGGCCACGCCACAACAGAAGCCAGTTTTGAAACACAGATACAAGAGAGAGCGCCTGGAAGAAGAAACAGGCTCTCTTCGGAAGTTTTCTGTTATGAGGTGTTCTCGCAGTGTCTTTTTGCGTTGTCCTGGAGTTCTCTCTTGGACGTTCTTGCTCGAACTTGGCGGTCTCTTCCAGTTTCCATGGTGACAGTTCCACCTCTCCAGCAAGCAGCAAGTGCTGCAGTGGTAAAAGCCATTTTTGCAGAAGCTAAGCCGGCAGCCAAAACCACGGACGCAAGCTGAACCAAGACAAATCGAAAAAGGCCCAAAATCGCATGAAACCAAAGCCAATTCTCACGCCATAAAATCTTGTTGACTGAGCAAGCAAGAGGCAAAGCACCACCATGTTAAATGCCAGGTAAAATAAAAATTACATTTAAAATGGTTAAATTGCCGTTTCAAATAAGCGCCTGCCAGAAATGACTCTACTTTAGTCTGAGTTCTGACAGACCTCCGTTATTTATGGGCGTAACTACAGTGGCTGCGTTGTGGTTTTTGTGTGAAATTAAGATTTCCATGTGCAGTGTAGAAGTTCAAGAACTGTGCGTCATCCTGTAAGGGTGCGACACGGTGAGTTTTGCAGTTTGCAGTTTTGTGTGCATAGCTTGGAGTCTGCTCAGCTTTTAAAGTTTTCCCAGTAGCCTAAGTACGATTAGTGGTGCAAGAACGTTTTGCCTCGTAGGGAACCACTCTCGTCGAGTTTCGTGACTTGAGGGAAGTTTTGGAGGTCCTTTAAGCCGAGCTGGCAAGTTGGAGCTGTGATACGTTTTCCACTTTGGCTCAACTTGCTTGCTTGGTTTGGACTTGTGTGAGTTGGCTTGGTTGTATCCTTGGTGCCTTGCTTGGCATCTTGGGGCTTGCAAGCGAAGCGGAAGTTCTGTGAGGCATTGAGGAATCGAAGCCGCGAAAACCACGGAGTGGATGCGAGTTGTCGGCTTGCGAGCAGCTGGGGAGCGGACCTTTGCGCTTTGCATCGACAGCCTCTCGAAATGCATAATTCTTATACATCTCTGTAACTGGGCTTGTAGCCACCACAGAGTGGAGAACACCTCCCCTAGAGAGTGAATTCATTCCGGCAATGGAAATCCTAAAGATGTTAATTCTTTACGTTTTTCATTGAAGCAGCGTCAAAAAGCCGTCAGCGTATACGCTGCTATTGCCCGCCCCTTGTGAGGCTTGATTTGTGATATCGGCGCGCGTTAAACGAAACCGGCTTGTTGTACATGTCGAGCCACAAGCCGCGAAGCCGATGAATTTTGTTTTTCATCACGACTTCGTCCGGTGATGTTTCTTCGTCGTCTTTGATCCACACTTGCCCACCTGTAAAGTCCCCAATGCAATTGCATGATTTGGCAAACCGATTATGTTGCCCATGTCGCGATGCAGTCCGATGCAAGGGTTCAGAATCACGGCCAACAACGTCCATTTCTCACCCTGGAAGCGATCCCGTAGAAAGTGATTGAGTGCCACGCATGCCTCTTTCGCGATGGAGGCTTTGGACAGGTCGGAAGCATTGCCGGCAAACGCATAGACTCCTAGGGTGCAGTATATGTTATAGCACCCTGCCCCGATGGCCCGGCGGTGACCCTTATGCTTCCATTGCTGTGACCAAAGATCGAGCAACTTCACCAGGTTATGCTCGGTGGGGTGCTCCACGACGGCTCGGCACGCCTGCTCCATGTCTTCTTTTCTTTCACACGATCGGTGGTCGTGCTATGTCCTTGCGGATAAGCAGCAAGCGCCCACATGCAGGAAGCTGATTCTTTGGGAGACAACCAGGGCTCGGAGCCCCTGTCGGGGAATTTAAGGAAAGCTTGCTCTCTTTGTTGTTTGCGAGTTCGGCCACTCTTCCGGCAACCTCGTCTTCCCTTGGCGACCCAGTGAGTGTAAAGGCGACTCTCCCCGGTATATTTTTATAAGTCTACGAAGAGTCCTGGGAAGCCTCCTTGAAGCTCTCAGCCATTGCGCTCGAAACTTGAAACCTTGAGCCCGAGAACCGGCGCCTTTGTAATCCTTCATGCTGCGCAGACAGCGTGCAGGTAGCCGATACATAGCTGTGGGGCACTCTGTCCCCTTGCTCCGGGTGTCTCCCGGCCCGAGGCGACAACGCGAAAGCAGAA